GCACCTCATGGGATAAGGACTCAGCAAGATCTGATCAGCGATCACTCACAAATCTTCCTCATTTACATTGAAGAGCTCTGACTAAGTCTACGGACCAACTGGGGTAAGGCACTCCTTGACTTGGTTCTGGCCAAAGGGGATGATTTAGTGAGCAACCTCAGGATTGAAGTGAAACTAGGTGACAATGACCATGAGATGATCATTTTCTCCATCCACCATAAGACAGGGAAATCAGTAGGGTAGAAATCCTTGATTTCAGGAAAGCTGATGAAGCTTGGAGATTGGTTGGCGAGGCCCTGTGGGACTGTGGTGTGATAGGGAAGGGAGTACAAGAAAAGTGGTTGTTCCTCAAGGAAGCAATCCTAGGTGCATAAAGGAAGTCCATTCCTTTTCATAAGAAGGACAATAAAAGGGCTGGGAGACCCCCTTGGCTCAACAGGGAAGTCATGGACCTCCTGAAATTGGAGAGAGAAGCTTATAAAGGGATGGAACTCAGAAATTAGCACGAAAGAGGAATACTCAGCAATAGCCCACACCCATAGGGAGCAGATTAAGAAAGGAAAGGCAAAAACCAAATACAAATAGGCAACTGTAATCAAGGACAACAAAAGGTCCTCCTTTAGATATGTAGGTAGTCAGAAAAAAAATAAGGGAAGAATAGGGCCCCAATGAACAAAATGGGACAGCTGATAACTGACACTCAGGACAAAACTGAACCCCTAAACAAATACTTTGCATTGATATTCCACCAGTCCAAGGGTGTTAGCCTGCTTAACAGGATCATCAAAAGGTGAGGTGGTCACCCTCCCATAGTTGGCAATGATGTTGTGGGGGAACACCCACAGAGGCTGAATAACTACAAGTCAGCAGGACCAGATGAACTACACCTGAGAGTGCTAAAAGAACTGGCTGACATCATTGTGTGACCTATGGCAAAGCTATCTGAGGACTCTTGGCTCTTGGGAGAGGTCCAAGAAGACTGAAAGAGAGCTGATGTGGTGCCCATGCTCAAAAAAGGGAGAAAGAAGGACCCAGGGAATTACAGGCCAATCAGTTTGACTTCAATCCCTGGTAAAATCCTGGAAAAAAATATCACAGCATCCATTATTGATAGGCTAACAGAAGGCAATATTCTAAAGGACAGCCAACATGGCTTCATTGTGGGAAGGTCATCCCTTACAAACCTTATTCCCTACTACAATAAAGGTAACTCACCACCTGAACAAGGGAAATCAGGTTGATGTCATATATTTGGACTTCAAAAAGGCCTTTAACCTTGTCTCCCATGATGTCCACATGGTAAAATTGGCAAAATGCAGCCTTGACAACTTTATGATCCAGGGACTAGGTAAGTGGCTTCAAGGTAGGACCCAGAGAGTATTAATAGACAAAACTGAGTCAACATGGTGGAAGGTGATCAGTGGTGTCCCTCAGGGTTCAGTACTTGGGCCAGTTGCTTTTCAACATGTTCATCAATTATTTGGATTCAGGTATTAAAAGCATACTGGCAAAGTTCACAGATGACACCAAATGCGTATGGGGGAGTGTGGTCATGCTCAAGGACAGGCTGGCGATACAGGCTGACTTGGATAGGCTTACAAGGTGGGCGGATCATAACCTGATGACATTTAACACAGAGAAATATAAAGTGCTCCATCTGGGGAGAAATAATCCACAATACACTTACAGGCTTGGCAGTGCTATGCTTGCCAGCACCACAACTGAAAGAGTCCTGAGGGTCATGACAGACCACAGAATGAAAGTGAGCCACCAATGCAATGCCATAGATGGCAGAGTGAATCAAACACTGGCATGCATCTACAGAGACATCTCAAGCAAGACTAAGGATGTCATCCTCCTGCTCTAACTCAGCCTTGGTGAGACCGCAGCTGGAGTTCTGCATCCAGTTCTAGGTGCTGCACTTCAGCAAGAAAGTGGAGAAGCTTGAGAGAGTCCAAAGAAGGGCCACACACATGATTACAGGTCTGAAGAGCAGAACATATAAGGAGAGGCTGAAAGACTTGGGACTGTTTAGCCAGGAGAAGAGAAGACTGAGAGGGGCCTTGGCTGGCAGCCTATAAGTATATAAGGCGCATACATCAGGGCCTGGGAGATCATCTGTTCACCAAGGCACCCCAGGGGAAGACAAGAAACAATGGGCACAAACTGATTGAAGATTGCTTCAGACTGGACATAAGGAAAAACTTCTTTACAATTTGAGTACCAAAGGTCTGGAACAGACCCCCACCCCATCCCTCCCAGGTGTTACAGTCACTAACCCTGGAGATCTTCAAAAAGCATCTTGATGCCCACACATCTGACCCCAGCAGTCTTTCCTGCCCAAGTGCAGGAAGGCTGGACCTGATGACATTGTTAGGGGCTAGAAGGGACATTATGACTATGTAACCCTAACTGCTGGCACAAGCAAATAAAGTAGTTTTCTTCCACATTTTAATTCCAAGCCATTTTTCAGCAACAGGGAATGCATATGAAAAATCCAGATTCTTTAAATCACCGTTATTTAAAAGTACATCTCATTACAAGTTTTGCAGTCAAACTTAACATACCATCAGTGTATTAGATTTATTTCTTTCTGCATGTGACAGGAGATCTTTTAGTTAAAGCCAAAATCCCATTTGCCTTACACTCATAGTACGCCAAACAGCTCTAGGGAGGAGATTATACTATTATGGTTCTTCCATATTACTGACCTCAGGTTTTCAATCTCAGGAGCTGGGTTTTTGGGGAGTGTGCAAATCTTAAAGTTTAGTTATATTTCAGAAGTAGGTTAGCATCGAGGGAGTTCTGTTGGCCCTAGAGTACACAATGGGAATATTTTTATGAAGTACAACTTGGATAAGTGTTTGTAATCATGCAGCTTCTACAGGTCCAGTTGCATCAGGCTACTAGTTGATTTGAATGAAGCACAACAACTTCAGTTTTTTATATTCAGGTTTTTTATTTTTTCCATTTAAACCATTTGTATTACAAACATGTTCACAACACTTGACTAGAAACAAAATTAAGTGGCTTATGAAAAATATTACATTTAAAAAACTAAATGAAATATTCATACTGTTGAGCTGGAAGTAGTGTCCCTCAGGTAGGTCAGCATAGTAAAGTTATGAGGTGAATTGTTCACTTCATGTTAAGAGGTGACCTACTTAGGGATGAGTATGCCGAGCAACAGCTGAGGTAGTATGAAAAAATGTTGTAATCACCCCATGAGAAAAAGTGAGTGGTGATTGGTGAAGGATACTGAATGGCAGATTAAATTAAAAGAGATTGTACCTGAGGAGAGGCGCGACCACGTGTGTGGGACAGAATAAGTGAGGACCGCGGTGCCCAAGACTAGCCCTGTGTGACTAGGGAAGTATTTGATTCAGATTTGGCCAGTTCAGAGGACAGCGATTCGATTCAGGACAGTGATCCAAATCTGAATCGATTCGGCCGAATCAGCTTCCGAAGATTCAGCACTGATCTAGCGATTTGGATTGGCTAGGGAGAGGCAGGCACAGCCAGGCAGCTCCTCCGGCTGTGCCTGCCTCTCTCTGGGCAGGGGGAACCGCGGGAGAAGCCCCCATGGCTGCCCTGCCCAGTCCCATCCCCCACCCGGCGACAGCCCAGTCCTGGCACTTAAAAAAAAAAAAGCCCCACACATCGGCTGTAGGGCTCTGGGACCTCCTGGCAGAGCCCCTCCATGCAGCCTCCATTCCCCAATTGCCACCCCCTGCCAGATCCCACCCCAGTGGCTCCCCCCCGCACCCGGTCCCAGCATCCCAGTAATTTAAAAAACAAAAAAACCTTGTACTCACCAGCAGCAGCAGCAGCTATGAGGGCCCTGGGGCCACATGGCAGAGCCCCACACACAGACCCTGCTCCCTGACCTCCCCCTGCCCAGCCCCAGCAATTTAAAAAAAAACCCAAACCCTAAACTTACCAGCTCTGGCAGCAGGGACTGGGGGGCTTGTAGCAGACCCCCCCCACAGTGTAGGGCAGTGGGGATCGCCACACTCACACAACAGCTGCCCCATGGCAGGGCGCTGTGCACTGTCTGGGTGGTGGGGCAGCTCCAAGTTTCAGCCGGAGTCATCAGTGCTCAGCCCCAGCAGCTCCAGCTCCCAGGCAGCACATGGTGACCTGCCAAGCCATGCTACACCTGCAACATGGGGCAGCTGCTGTGTGGGTTCCAGGTTGAGGGAGTGATCCCTTCTGCCCCATGCTGCATGAGGGCACTCTGCCACAAGTCCTCAGAGGCTGCTGCAGCCAGTGAGTGCAGGCTTTTTTTTTTTTTTAAGTGCCAGGACTAGGCTGGGCCAGGTGGGGGATAGGGCTGAGCAGGGCAGCCATGGGGGCTTCTCCCATGGCTCCCCCAGCTGTGCCTGCCTCTGCCTCTGCCCCAGCAGGGGGAGCTGTTGGGGCTCTGCCCTGCTGCCACTTGCCCAGCTGGCATGGTGGGGGCACAACGCAGGCACAGCTCACTCCGGGCAGCAGCACAGAATAGCCCCTGCTTCTAGCACTGCTGTGCCCACATCCCTCTGCCCCCTCCCAGAGTAAAGCACCCCACCCCCATCCTGGCTGGGCAGCTTGTCCCAGCCCCAATCCCTCTCCCACACCTCATCCTTCCCCCAACCCCAACAGACTTACCAGCTGGAAGCAGCTGTCAGCTGCCTGTTTAGTATATGGTCAAATCTCCAAATTCAGTCAAAACTTTTCTCAAGTTTTTCCGAATTTATTCAGATGCTTCAAATCAACTTGGAGCTTTTACTTGGTCTCTTGATTTGATTCGGATTTGGTCCCTGAATCAGGCCGAAACTCCTCCAAATCAAATCAGCTACTGAAGCCCCCCAAAATTCACTGTAGCCCCCCTCCCAACACCACCCACCCCAAGCATAGCCCTAGTCAAGATCTCATCTGAGCGTTGGATTTGAATTAACAGCTGTTGCAGGCTCGAATGAGACTCAATTTACTGAGTGAATTTGAATCTTGTGTGCGCGAAGAATGGAAATTAAAATCAGCAGAATTTTAGTTTAATTATTCATGCTTCTGGAAGTTTCAAATTTCTGTGAAATCCTTTCACTGATTTTCATCCCCACAAGTGATCATGTGAGTAGCAAACTTGTTTCACATAATGTTTTGCTTTAGGTGAATTTGTGAAAATGTTTCAAAAGCAGGGGGGGGATCCCTAAATGGGTATGCAACGCAGTAATGAAATGAGCAGATCACTGATGTTTTGAGTTCTTACCTTGGAAAGTCAATTCCACCATCTCCTGTCATGCTATGATTTTCTGTTCCTTCTAAGTTACTTGTTTCTTGTCGGACACTCTGTCCTAAAACTGTAGTATGCATACTACTAAAAATCTGTTCTTTTATTTCAATTTATTTTTCATTTCTTTGGTTTGCAGGCCTAGTGTCTGCCATGCTAATTTTTCTCCCATCTCATTGCTAGAGTTCTTCAAAGTTTCAGCATCTGAGTCAAGGTCAGTAGTGTTACTGATGTCAAACATAGTGACAGCAACATCTGAAGCCCCTATAGGCTCCACGAGGTCCACCTGCTCTTCTGTTTTTTTGTAAACAAACTGAGGCATCTGGCTGTAGAAACAATTTTGTCGTATGAAATTCTTGTTCTGGCACTCTAAGCTACCCAGTGACCCAGCAAGACTGTGGCATTTGTTTGTGTCATGCTCACAAGAATCAGGTTTATTGACATTGGTATCATACTCAGTTGGATCAGTTTCACTCCAGTTTTCCAAAGATGCTTCAGCTCCCATTTTTTGCAGTATCTTATTCCTTTCTCCTCCACCAGAAACCACCTGGCTTTGTTGCAGTTGACAAGGATTGGCATTCTCATCAAAATAATCATTATGATATAGTGAACTAAAAGGGCTGTCATAATCTGAATTCTGATAAAGCATGTACTTACCACCAAACTCTATATTTTCTGGCTTAACAGATTCAGACCATTTAAGTACTGTTATTTTTAAACATGATCTCATTCTTTTTATCAGTTTTTTCCCCTGCAATTCACACCATTTTCAGGCTGTTTAAACTGGTTAGCATCAGCTGGATCATTAAAAAATCTGAAGTTGTGAAACTTATCTGACATTTGATCTAGTAACTCACAAACAAAGATCAACTTTGATCACAGTGATGGGTATCTTTCAAACATAGTGGATACTTTATTTCTTCCTTAAACACAACTCTTCAGTATATCTTCAGTATAAAAAGAAAGGGATTTTTGAACATTACTATTTCTGTTTGCCTCTGTATGGACATTATATCGGGAAATTGAGGGAAAAATATTTGCTCTAAAGCCCTTGCATTCATCATTTATTTGTAATGTACTGCGTTGTGGATAGCTTGGGTATTCATTTAAATGATTTTTGTTCAGATAGAGAGAAGTATTGTTAATGTGGAATAATTTGTTTTGCTTGGCTTTGTGATCGTGCTTTTCAGCTACTGGTTGTTTGGCTTTGTGGTCAGAACTTCTTAGGGGATTCCGAGGCCTTGGCATTTGAAAATTCTGTTCTTGCTTCTGAGTCCCGCACTTTAACTGACTGTTTTTCTGACTTTTATACCACTTCGTATAAAGGTTCTCTCTACATGCCAGACCTAGAAGAGGATTAGAAATTTGTTTTTTTATATATAAAAACAGGATTTGTTTGGTCCCTTCTCATTTGCAACATAGGATGACAGATGTTCAGCACATTTTTTCATTTTCTCATTTTCTGATGCAAGCTTACTGATTTGAGAGACTCTCTGGGTTTTGCTACTTTGATTTCCTTTGCTCAATTCTATTGTGATGCTTTGCTGTTTTATTTTGCTTCATGTGAGCATATACTTTTGAAATGTGCTTTTGTCTGACTGGCAACTTTTCAGTTGAGGTACCTAAACTAATGTATTTTTTTTTCAGCTCCTCAAATTTTTGCCTTAATACTTTGTGCTTAATTAAATTATCAACCATCAGCAGAGGATTAATATGCTTGATGATTTCATGTTCAATATCACGTGGAATATTGTCTAAGCTATCTTCATCCCTAACTGGCCATTGTTTAGGTGGAAACTGGGCTGAAAAAGTGGAGTACTCTTTTGTAGGTTTCTGGATTTTTTTTTTTTTTTTTAAAGAAGTGCTACGCCTAAAAAGACCAAGGCCAAACTTTTTACATTTCACTTTTCCTTTCACTGAAGTTAAAGACTTGATTGTGTCACGGGAATGAATACCAGCTGATGTAGAGACAGATTGACTCCGAAGTGAAAGTTTCATTTCAGAGCCTTTTTGACCTCTTCCCTTAGGTTCATGGTTCATTAGTTGCTGATCTCTTTGTTCACTGAATGTAGTCTGATCAGGGAAACAATGACAGGATCTGCAGTGGGTCATGGTAGGAACATTTTCTTTTGTTAGGTCAGCACAGCTGTCTATGCTTACAAGATATGTGACAGGTGGCAGAGAAGACCAGTTATCCTCTGACAAGACCTTTTTCTCATGCCTCATGACATTATCAGTGACAAAGTAGGTGTGGGGTGTCACTATGAAGTATCCCTCTCCAGTGTGATAGATCTTCCTTTCCTTAATTAACATTCCAAGAGTATTATATAGAATTTCTTGTGAGGGAATGGCTATGCCTACAATAATAAAAAATGAAATATTTATATTCTGTATCAGAAATGTTACATATGCATGTATGAATCAATGAAAATTAGATGCAAAACAATCATTTACAATCATATAGCAGAAGTCAATTTACAAAAATAGTAAGAGTATCAGCTGCTTATCAGCAACATTTTCCCTTAGCATTGCATTCAGACAACATTTCCTAAAACAGCAATAGCTGCTTAGAAGCAACATTGCACTAGGGCACCAATCTACTATATAACAAATCTGGAAGTGACTGAGGCATGCAAATACTGTATGGATTACACTAAATGCTTTAAAACAGCTTCTAAGACCACTCTGACACTAGACCTTTTAGTAGCACAAACTGCGTTTTAACATTCAAACATCCACCATCATGTAAAAAGCTGTCAAATCTTTGAAGACACAAAGTCACTCTTTTTAGCTTCATAAACCAAAACCACCACAACTCAGTATACTCTGTTACCCGAAAAATTAACCCACAATAAAACCCTGTGACCATATACGCAACACAGGGATCACAGCTATAAGCAAAATTGGAAAGATGAAGAATTCTTAACAGAAGCCAGTATATCTCCTGCTCCAAATACAGAATTATCCAAAATTTCCTTTCATTGGTTAGGTTCTTTGCTCCCCCCAGTTATACAGCTGATCCAATAAAAAAAGATACCCCCATAAAACCTTTGCTTCTTGTATAGTTTCTGGACTATCACAAGACACTTTCACTAGTTAGTCTTGAAAGCCGGTTCTGTAGGCAGTCCAGTAGAGGGCAGCAACCACAAATTCTATAAAATAGGGGACAATGACAAAGATGCACTAACCTTAAAGTTTGGAAATCAATGAGTGACAAAGGCTAGACAAGAATTCATCTTCAACAACCTAATGAAGGAGTAATACAAAGGGAGAAAGAAAAGGGTCTACCACACTTCCTTCAGTTGCCTGTGTAAAATGTTAATCCATTAAAGATGAAACAAACAAAAACAAAAGCACCAAGCCATCTGCAAGCTGAATAAATAATATCTGTCTTCCAGGATCATAGGTAAAAGGGCCATCTGTTCCTGTTCCTAACATGCTAAAACTTCCCAATTTTCAGCATGTTGCTATAGTGTTCTGTTAAATATTGAACAAAATCAACTAAACACTATAGCAACGTGCTGAAAATTGGGAAGTTTTAGCATGTTAGGAACAGGAATAGATGGCCCTATGGTCCTGGAAGACAGGTATTATTAAGGGATTCTGGCTCCAACTTGCAGATGGCTTGGTGTTTTGTTTTTGTTTGTTCCATCTTTAATGGATTAACATTTTACACAGGCAACTGAGGATGTTCCAATTATATTAGACATGATTAAGTTTTTATAACACATGTAAATAATCACACAAGACAGACCTCCTTTGCTCATGGCATGAGCCAACCAATAACCATCGGCAGGTGCAGTTCACTTTGGGCAGGCTATTCTACAGTAGTTCATAACAGCAATATTTACATCTTTCTCTGAAACATCTGATACTGGTTTGTCAAAGCAGGAAAACCCTGGTTACAATTGCCACACAGATTTAGCTTGCTGCAATCCATTTCTATCAAAACTTCTTAAATCATGAGCTAGTGATTCTGATACACTAATGAAAACTAGACAGATTGCCAGTTTTCACAAATCTTGATATCTCTGCAGTCCCACTCCATGAGAAAAAGTTCCAGTTAACACCATTTTACTACCAGCATTTAGAACAGTAGTTCTCAACTAGGGTGCTGAGGCACCCTGGGGTGCCATAAGAACTTGCCAGAGGTGCTGCAATGTCATCATCATTGTTACAGGGTGAAACTTCTCTGCGCTTCTCTTTTCAGGAGGTGCCTGGGAGCCAAACTGAGAAGCTGATGTAGGAACAAGCTGCACTCGTCTGAGTTACATTATGTGGGCAGGCATGCTGCCTTTGCTGTGGCTCTTTCCAGTTCAGCTCTGACATGCCCAGGAGGAGGAGGAAGGAGAGGATGAAACCAGGGAGGAGGCAACTCCACGCTCACCGCGTCCCGTGCAAGCTGAAGGAGACAAGCAGGCCAGGAG